TTGGATTTTTTTATTTTGTCAACTATATAAAGTTGAACAAACAAAAAGTATATATAATTGTATAGAGTCTGAACAATGCTCCAAAATTGATTATACTCTTAGTTAACATCATTATTTTAGAATGTGCACTATTAGAAACCATACTAAAATCTTTTTATTGAATTCATTTTCTTGTTGTTGTTTGTTTTTTAGGATGAGGAAATCACTATAATTTATTTTTATTCTTTTTGTGTCCTTATGGAGTCCAATGATAAACTAAACATTGTTTTAACATCTTTATTGTTAGGAAGTGTCGATCAACACACTCCTGGTTCACGTTTTATTCTTTTCCACTCGGGAAAAACAAACACACTAACTAACTAACTATTCGGTCATCTATCTATTCTTATGGATCACACAGATGACCAATCAATAGAACATAGGAGAAAGAGAAGAAAAAGGAGGTAGTGGACAAAAGATAGCGCCACTACCTAACACCTCCGCCCTTACCAGTGAACGGGTTTATCTGTTCACGAAGAGATAATAACAAATAAAGAGATAGAAAATAAAACAAATAAAAGAAACACGAGGTGTAACAGCATCATCACTGAGAATAGAAAAATAGAGTACAGTACTTGTGAAAAAATAGATGAAGATGAACAATAGTAACTCTGTTGTTTCTTTTTTTTTTTTTTTATGTATATCCTGAGATATAGTTTGAGTAACATAAAAGTATAAGTTCATCAAAGAAGAAACAGCAAAAATGAAAAAATAACATAAGGTAGAACAGTTTTAAACGACACACAATAAAAACAAACAGAAAAAGTTACTCGACGATATTTCCATTTACGAAAACAAAATAAAGTTGAGAGACGATATTTCCATTTACGGAAAGAAAATCTTAATTGAATCATTTCATTATAAAAATAAAATCGAAGTCCATGGTTATATGTGTAATTCCATTCTTTACTAACAGTATTAAATTGATTCTCTTGAATAGTTGGTGGTGGTGAGTCATCTTTATTGCAATGTAGCTTATTATATCGGTTCCAATTATAAACAGCAGGAGCTTTATTAAGAATTCGAGGTGGACGTGGTTTATATTTATCAGACCATAAATATTGAACATCATGTGGTAAAACAATATTAATTAATGAATCATTACCTGTTAAACTATCCATAGGTCGAGTAAAATCTTCAAAAGTATCTTCAATATCAGTTTGAACAGAATCAGAATTAATAACAGATTCACCTTGTTGTTCTAATTGATCACAAACATCTGCTACATTTGCACCTTGTTGTTGTGTATCGCAACTATCTGCTGCATCTGCATCTTGATGTTGAATATCCAGATCAAAATAATTAGTATTAACTAATATAGATGAGTAATAACCTTGTTCATGTTCACGTAAACATTTATCTTCTAAATTATCAACTTCTAAATTTTCTAATGATTTAATCGAACCATCATGAAGTAAATCTAATTGATAATTTTCACTATCATTTTTCTTGTTGGATATTGTTGAAGTCGATGCAGGAACAGGTAATATATCTTTTTCTTGTTCAAGTTTTTGTGGTTCTTCTTTAATTATTAATTGATGTCGATCAAGAAGATGTGATGAGGAAAAGGAGGACGACGATTGAAAAGCTTCAATAAGTTCACGTTTAAATGTAAACCAATCAGGAATATTTGATTTCTTATATTTAAACCACGTAGCAGCACTATTAGTTAAAAAGTATTGTATAGCAATATATTTATTTGATGTTTGTAATTGTACTCGATCAAATACTTCTTCAATATATTCTAGCCATTGAATAACATCTTGATTTAGAGCACCATCAAATTGTATAACTGATCGAATTAATTCTTCCATAATTAATAATAATACTTCACGATAACAACAAGACGAATAGTAAATTCAGCAGAAACAGGACAATAAAAGTAATGAATAACACAATGATCAGAATGATAACATAGGCACCAGTAAGAATAATAACTTCAGAATAAAGGTCATAAGGACAAAAGTTAAACCAGGAAAAACAATAGAAATAAATCGAAGACGATCAGGACTAGGACAAAAAAAACAACTTCACTAGAGGAAAACAATCTTATCGTGTTCGACGAATTGTGGTCGAAATGTATCACGACGGGTCACGGCACCAATTGTTAGGAAGTGTCGATCAACACACTCCTGGTTCAGGTTTTATTCTTTTCCACTCGGGAAAAACAAACACACTAACTAACTAACTATTCGGTCATCTATCTATTCTTATGGATCACACAGATGACCAATCAATAGAACATAGGAGAAAGAGAAGAAAAAGGAGGTAGTGGGCAAAAGATAGCGCCACTACCTAACATTTATCAATAACCTATTCTATTAATAAAGATATCAGATATGAGTACAATAAAGTTTGAACAATAGCCTAGATGTTATTCTTTTACATATACTTTCTGCCTGTTCTACCGTGATAGTCGACAAATACAAAAAAAACTAAAAAAGTGCTGGGAACTTAAGAGACGTTCCATGAAAATATCAAAATTCCGAAAACATGGGGGTCAACCGATTTTGAATCTGACCTCATAGGAATTTGGGCCTTAGTGTACCATATATAAATCCAAAATATTATGGCCTAAAGATCTACCTATAGTTGGCTAGGACTGATGAACCTGACATACCCTAAAAAATACCGTCAAGAAATGCAAAAAATTCAACTTTTAGTTTCGCTGAATTTTTTTCTTAAAATTTTTCTACTATTCAAACTGAAACATATACCAATCGATAGAGCTTGAATTGCTCTACAAAATGGTATATA